GCTCTCGGACTCAGGCAGCCACTTCAGATATGTCACCTTGGTCTTGTCAATCAGCCGCTGCAAAGGGAATGAGTGACAGGGTGGAGTTGGAAGGTGGTGATTACTTCTGATAGGCCATGTTATATCCTGGACCCCAGCTCCCCGACTGACTGAGACAGACGGCACGATACTACAGGGACTCGGGGAAGGAGAGCCGCCTGCTGGGAGGAGTCCCATGGTGCCCCACTTCTGATGAAGGAGCAGCCCTGCCTGTAAAGGGTTACCCTCCAGCCACTTAACTGTTGCTTCCGTCTCCAGTGTCACATAAATCCCAGAGTACCTGCTTCCCCTGAGAAAGGGTCCCCAGCACTAGTCCAGCTGCTAGGGCAGCATCCAGAGGACACGCCCCGAGCAGTGCCCCTGCACAAACGGACCTCATCCTTCAGCTGCACCGTCAGATCCCTCCAAGCACACCCCCCCATGAAGTCTCGTCTTCCAACAAAAGCTGTGGGCTTGTGAGCCAAGTGTGCCACAAACTAGTCTCTCCACTCCCACCCCAACCACCCTGGTCCCACTGCCACTTCCTACAATGCCCCCCTAGCCTCAGACACTCATAGCTGCCTCCAGAGACGAGTAAATGTGAACCAGCCCTTAGCACTGCACTGCCCTGCCTGAGTCCCTACAGCCTGAAGCAGCCACTGAGGGCTGAGAAGGCCACCAGCCCTCGAATCTTCTTGGCCCCATGGCTCAGGCACAGCAGAGTATCCACGGTCACTCCTCTGGTTCCTGTTAATGAGGGCAAGCTCCTTCCTACAGCTTTGCACGCCAAGGCAAGCAACACCTCCTGTTCTTTCTCAGAGGGCACCTTCCGCTTTCTCTCCCTCAGCTGCTCCCCTGGCCACCAGCTGATGGCTGGCTGTCCCGGCTGGGGGTAAGCTGTTCCTTTACTCTGGAGCCCGGCAGGCAGGTCTTGAACTTCTGATCCTTCTGTATCAGCCTCCCAAGTAGCTGGGATAAGAACCCTGTCTAAAAAGGCCCAAGCCATTCTCTACTTAAATGTCCTTCCCTGGAGGTCGGCCTCCTTCAGGCTTCGCCTCAATGGCAGCTCCTGGCTGACCAGGGCTGCATGCAGGGCCCCTGAGGGATCTGTGCAGCCTGTCTCCAGCCTGAAAGTGGCGAGGACAGGCTTCCCATCTGCTCTGAGTGTTCCTGGACAGAGGCCTGCATTGGCAGGATCGTTGTTCTGGAAATGGGTGAGTGCCTTCCCTCGCTCCCTCCGGCCATTTGCTCCTTTTGAGAACATTTGTGGGCCACAAGAGCACAGGGGCCTTCCCCGCCTGCTGGCGAAGGTCCCTTTAAGCCAAGTTAGTCCTACCGAGCAGTCCTTGTGAAAGAGCTTAAATAGCCCTGTGAGAAGGGTTACAAATCCCACTTTGCAGAAGAAAACTACGGCTGGGAGAACAAATCACTTTCCCGAAACCACACAGTAAGTCAATGACACAGCAGGGACAAGAATCCAAAGCCTAAAGAGCCCAGAATAATTTGAAGTCAACAAAACATCAAGAAAGTCCCAACCGCCTATGAGCCTCAGTCTTCCACTCTGTGAGATGGGCACCATACTTTCTTAGCCACCCGTGGCGGAGACTTCCAGCAGAGAACCAGGACACTGTAAGTACGGTGGCAGCATCAGCAGCTGTCTGTCACTGGTGCCCCTCTCCCTCACCCGGCCCCTCTCAAGCCTACTCTGTTCCCAGGCAGCTTAGTGTGGGGGTGGGTAGGTAAACAAGAAGGGGTGGCTCTTGCCCTCAGTCACCTCTTCATTGAAAAGCTTGCTGGTGTCCTTCTTGATGAGGTCCAGGTACTGCACCTGGCCGGCAGAGAAGCCCACCAGCAAGGAAATGGTCTCTGTGGCGGCC